TGATGTGGACTGAAAAGTAGGAGAATAATTTGTTGAATTGCTGCACTTGAATGGAGTTTGGTGGTTTAAGTCTGACTGGCAGCTGGTTGCAACTGGTGTTCTTTAGAGATCAAGTATTGGGCTGCTACTGTTAAGCATATAGGACAGATAGGAGAGAAAATACCCTCAGCAAATTTGTGGATGATACCAAACTAGGCAGGTGGTGGGTGTGCAGAAGGGTGGTGCTGCCTTTAAGGGGAATTTTGAACTGCAGGTCTGAGAACCTGCTGAAGTTCAGCAAAGAAAAATGCAAAATCCTACATTTGGGATGGAATGTGCTTGTGGGCTGACAGATTGGATAGCAGATTTGCCAGGTGAGGAGCTGTGTCTGTAAATTTCTGGTGTGAAACCTATGCAGTGCTGACGACTGTGTTATTGGGCTGTGTTAGAAAAGCATGACCAGTGGATTAAGGATACGATTATGAAGATGCATCTGGAGTAGTGTCTAGTTTTCTTTGCCCTTCCTCCTTATCCTGAGTAAGACAGATGTTGACAAACATGAAGGAAATTCAATGGAAGTCCACTTAGCTGCTTAGGGAGGGGGAAGTGTGTGACCCATGAGGAGAGGCTGAGAGAGCTGAACTTACTTAATCTGCAGAAGAGAGGGTTAATATGGGATAGAATAGCAATTCCCCTTCTTAGAGGGGATTTAAAGACAAGGCCAGTCCAGACAGTTCTGAAAGGCATGTGGTGGAAGGACAAGAGGCAATGGACACAAACTGCAGCGGTGGAAATCCAGATGGGATACAAGGAAAAAATTAGTCACTGTGGGAGTGGTGAAGCAGAAGAGCAGGTGGCCCAGGGATGTGGTATCTCAATTCTTGGAGATATTCAAAACCTGACCAGCAGTCTAAAAACTACTTTCTGAGGTACTTTTAATGACCTCTTCCTTTTAAGAGAGAGTGTCCCTGTTCAATCATCCCTTTGCCATTTCTATAGAAATCTCATATTAGATATACTGTTTCCATCTTTGCTAGGTAGATTAGTTTCCAAGACACAACCTGGGAAATAGTTCATTGATACCTGGTTAAGTTGGGTAGGTCTTCCAGATTTTCAGTTACCTGAAAGAAGTGAAGTAAACCCCAGGGAATATTCTCTTATTAAGGAAAATTACTCTGTCGTGGTTTGACACGGGAAAAGAATTTTCTTGGAAGGAAGAGGTCAGTCCAGTCAGGGGTCAGGTTTGGATACTGACACTTGGGTGACCAATTGAAGGTGGACACGCCTCTGAGAACACAGAGGGGTTACTCCTGTGAAATGAAGGCTTTGTGAAATATTGCTCCTCCTCAATTTGAAGGAAAGAGAGACAGCCGGAGACCTTAGTTGTTAGGGAAAGAAGGTTGGGGAGAGATAATCGAGTGGCTGTTGGCTGGACTCTTCTTGTTAACAATAGACTGAACCAACTTCTCCAAGAGAGACTGCATTTCAGGGGGATGCAATGGTGAGCCAAGAAACTCCTTCAGCAACTACCAGTTCAGGAATGAACAGAGGTCAGTGGAGGAGGGTGTGAGGATGCCCTTCGTCTTCAGAGAAGAAGAGAAGGCAATCTTTGTTCTTGGACCCCCGGTCCCAGGGAAATGGGGGGGACTGTAGTCCCAAAATGAGACACTGGACTGTTGTTCCTGTTGGTCCATGGCAAAGCATCCTTAAAGGAGCCCTATAAGCAGTCTCTGTCAATGCACAGTGGTGAGAGCACTTTGATATGGAGAGGAGAGTGTCACACTGGCAGATTCTCTCTGGGTGGTGCCACATGTGACATGAAAACACAAGAGGTGGCAGCTGTGTTTCCTGGGGGTCTATGGTGCAAGGGAGACTCCTCTCTCCCCTGATGGACTCAGTATTGATTATGTGGAACGGTGAAGACTGGATTAAGGGTCCAAATGTGTCTCGTTGTGATTTATTGGAGGTGGGTGGGGGGAGGAGGAATGTTTTGAAAGGTTTTCATTTCAAATTTTGTGTGGGTTTTTTTCCCCCTTTATAGTAGTAGTAGTGGTGTAATAAAGTTTTCCCCTTGTTATTAAGTTTGGCCTGCTTTGCTCTGTTCTAGATCACATTTCACAGCATTCAGTTGATAGGTTACATTTTCATGGGGGTGCTGGCATTGTGCCAGTGTCAAACTGTGACATACTCTTAATCTGGCACAATGTACTGTTGATGAAAAAAATAAAAAAATACAACTGATAGCTTTTGCCCCTTTTCTATGTAAAAAAAGGGAGAAAATTTTGCTGGAACTTGAGGAACCAGCACAACTGAAAATGCAGGCTCTGTTCCTTCCTATGAATTAATGGAATTGTTTACTGTCAGCCTAGTAAGCTGCTTTTTTCAGATTGATGAATGTGATAACAGTAGCAATCATTTAAATTCATAGGAGCTCTATAGGGGTAGTTCAGGCCAGCTTTGACTTACTGAATCTCTGTTGCTGTTTAATGGAAGAAGGAAAGACTGCAGCTGGTCAAGCTGCCATCAAAAGAGAGACTTTTTGAACTGAATACACTCAGATAATGAACTTAGACATATAATCCTACAGTGTTTTTCTGTTCTCTTATTTCATAATCAGTTTAGGCTAGAATAAGATTTTGCCAGGTTGGAACATTTAATTAATAGCTATTAAATTAAAAAATATTGTCCTGGCTATTTATTTGTCATTGGTCATTGTTAATATTACTATCATTTTTAAGAGAAGCAAGATAATTAGCTGTAGTTTTATTTTGTGCAAGACTACATTTATTTTCTAGTTCCAGAATGATTTTTATTAAGTATTGTTGCAATCACAATACTTCTAAGGCATTTTAAACCCCTTTAAGTCATTCTAACTAAAACTAATCTGACATGAGCCATGTTTGTCTTATGTTACTGTAAAGCAACTTTTTCTTCTTGATTTTTAACTCTTGATTTTAACTTTAACTTGTGAAGAGTGTGTCACATAATCTTTGGAATGGCATGTTAACTGTCTCCTCAGACATTTCTTTCATTTTTCAGATGAAGATGATAATGAAGAAAAAGAAAATCCTCTTGCTTTAGGAGAGGGAGGTGAGAGCGGTGGTCTTGTGCCTGGAAAATCTCTAGTCTTTGCAGCCATGGAATTGCTCATGTTCATCCTAGTACGACACATGCCCCATCTGAGTTCAAAAGTGTCAGATTCTCCAAGTCACGTTGCTGCCAAATCCCACCTCTCTGAGGAAAGTGCTCGTCTTGTGGCTGCCACCGTTAATATTCTGTCTGATCTGCCTTCCCTGTGTTCTCCAGCAGGTAAGGCATTGTAACAGAATGTGTGTGAGTGTTAGCACAATGAGGATATGATGCTAAAAACAAGCTGTAAATATACTGATATAAATGCTTTAAGAGCCATCTATTAATAATATTTAGGTAATTAATTAAATAAAAATTCAGGTTTTTACAGTGAGCAACATAAAGGTAATTTGATTTTAAGTTTGCATGTGTGCTACACATTTGCTGAGGAAATGATGATCTCTGTACCAATCTGATTTCATTGTTGGTTTTTTTCCCCTTTTTGCATGCGTTTTAAACCCTTTGGGCAATTTTTAATCATATTGTTAAAGAACACAGACATTCTGGAGATAATTAAATTCCTGAAAAGTTCATGAAAAGCAGCAGCTGTATGAAAAGACAATCCTACTGAGGGAAAAACAGCATAATTCATCTGTGGTGCACTTGGGCTTGCCAGCCGTTGGCTGTCAGTCATTCCCAATGTGATTGTAAACTAAATGGAGCTTTCTTCTGCCCAGGAAGACTGTCACAAAGGATGTGTGTAAGCTGGGATAATTGCACTGAGGGAAGTTCATGGGTAAAGGACACAATTACATGGAAAGCTGTGCTCTTTGACTTTTGCTTTTTGGAGAGTAAATTGCTTGACTGTTGTCTCAAGAATCTTTGGGAAGTTTCACGTAGCCATATAGATAAGACATTTTAAAGTTAGTTCCCTAATGAGGTGCTCTGCAAATAACATGTTTGGACAAAGTTATGTTCAAAAGACAATATGATCTGTCTTGAAACAGAAATTTGTGTCTTGCACTTCTTTAAGGAACAACAGATTTTGAATTGGAGTCATGCTGTTTTTATTTGATTCCTGATTTTTGGGTTTTTTAAAATTTTTTTTTGAGAAGGTGATGGGAAAGAGGGTGGGCAAAACCAATAACAATATTACTTCTATGTTGTCTGGAGTGAGGGTGTTACTCCCAGTATTCTCCCAGTATTTGGCAAGTGGCCATTGCAAGTAGCTCAGAAACTACTGTTAGTTTAAAGAGCAGCCCCTTCCTGTCATAATTGTTCTACTTTATGTATTTATCCTCATATCATTCCCAGAAGCAGGAAAATGGCAGGATTTGTGTTTCCACAGATGTGGGAAAATGAAGCATAGAAGAGATATGGAAAGAAGCTTGACTGTCTGAAGTGATCTGTAGATTGATTTTGCATGCCCAAACGCAACAGCACTCTTCTTTTGTAGGGGCTTAAAGTCTGCATATGTTATTGAAACTCCTACAGCCTTTGTCCATGATTTGAGACACCCAAACAGCTTCCTTACTTGCTTCTGGAATTTGTTCCACACACCACCTTACTTGGAAAGTGCAGTAACTTCGTTTGGATACTTGTTTGCAGACCTGCTATTGTTGCTGTTTATAAGACCCCAGTGATACGTAGATCCTTCTAAGGTGCTTAGCAATCTGGATGACATACCATGTATCACATGCTATGTAGGACAAAGCTTTAATAGCTAAATCATCATTCCTGAGCTGACAGCAGAATTTCACTTGTTGGCTTGTGTGACTTGTGTTATGATACACTTCAGTAGCCCTGATGAATGAATTTGGTGAAAAAATGTTGAAGGACACATATCACTTGTTACCTGAATTGTAGTTTATCTCATCTCCTTTGTCTTCAACCATATGTATCTCCAACCCATATTGGGAAAAACAAAGAGGTTATCTGCCATACTTTAAAAATTCTATTTTATCTTTTTTTTTAATTTATTTTAGGGTGTATGACAGTGTTACCCACTATCCTATTTCTGATAACAAGGGTATTGAAAGAAACAGCAGTAAAGTCAGCAGATAATCAGGTCCCACCTCCAGTCACTGCAGCTCTTCAAGGGATAAAAACTATTGTTACTCTTCCAACAGTCAAGACTGATGAAACTCAGAAACAATGGACAGGTCTTATCCGCAGCACTCTGGCATCTATCTTGGAAGACTCTCAGCCTGGTAAGTGGTTTCCCCGTGCAGGAGTTAAAATTCAAGAAAAATTACTTTTCTGTAATGAAAATGCAAGTATGGTATCAGCCTATAACTTAATGGAAGACCTGAATGAGCAAAACTCCTCAGTTGCTTAACAGATTTTATTGAAGAAAAGCACAACATTGGCATTAACGAAGTAGTTAGATCTTAGGAGTTGTCACCTCAGATTTGTCCTTGTTTGGTCTGTTTTCTTTAACAGTGTTGATCATAACCTTCAGTTAGAAGTTTTCCCTTTTGCAATGCATGTGGCATCAGCCTCTCAGGTTTTATGCTGGCACAAATCATTTAGTCTTAATGACCGTCAATGTTAAAGTGAAGGGAAGACAGCCACAGATAATTGTGGAAAGGTTCGTACTGGAGTAGAATACTCACAACACTGTTAAAAGCTGTCTTTGGTGAGAAAGAAATCCTGGCCAAAAAATCCCTGTTACTCACCAGCACAATGGTTACTGTCTCTTCAGAGAACTGCAGACCACCTCTTATGATTCACAGACATGCTTTGCCTTGCCCTTCAAAAAGTGAAAAAGATGTACAGTCTTAGCTGCATAGTTAGCAGAAGAGAGACACAAAGATTTGCCATTTGCATAGTGGTAGTCAGCGAGAAAAACATCACTTTACATTGCCAAGGAGCCATTTGTAGAGAGTGAAGAGAGGCTTGAATGGAGTTACTCATGTGAGATATGGGGGATGAGGAGGTAATTGCAAATGATTCTGAAATGTCCAAAGGGGGAGGATCCCTAGCTTTGTGTTAACCAAGCCAAACTTCTAATTTGATTTGTCACATCAGCTCTTGTTTTCCAGCCTTTTAGTTCCTGTAGAGATTTCACAGGCCCTCTTTCCAGAAACATCACAGGCTGGAGACCTTTTTGCAGGCATCAGAAATTTTTCTTGGTTCCTTGCAAGAGTGCATGTTTTCCTTTCCAATCTTCTGTGAAGTGTGATAGGTCACACACACAAAAATCTAAGCAAGGTCCACTGCATTCAATTTCAAACCTCAGCATTCAATAAAATTTAAACAATGCAAATTTAAAATAATTTGAATAATGTAAGAAAAAATTTTACTTAAAATGCTTGGAGTAGTTTTCTGAAGCTAAGCCAGTTGAGTGACTAGCTGACATCTGTAAAGGTCTGTCATGCTGTTTTCCTTTTTTGCTGACTTTATATATTGTGCCTCTCAGGGGAGAGCAGAACCAATGTGGCAAGCCAGACCAGCTGAACAGTGCTTTTTATATATATTATAATAGTTGATATATACTATATATTATAATAGTTTATATATACATATTTTTGTTCCTGTTGTGAATTCATGATTGAGATCTGTCAAGACAGAGCTTATGCAAGGAGAAAAAATTGTGACAATGCCAAATACAGGCTATTTGAAAAGCAGAAAAGGTTAAAGTAGGACTGTTCCTGTTGGTGACAGTTGGCTGTCAGATCAACTAGTCTGTTCTGTGAAACCTCATGTTAAGTCAAAGTTGTTGCCATGCTGGATGTCTATTTCTTATTCTGCTGTATCAGCTGAAGATAATAATTTTAAAAGTGAAGTAGACCTTTAATGGGGAAAGGATCTAAAAATATCTTCTTTCCTCTTGTTTGCACACTGAAAACAAAAAGCATGACTTGGTCTGACCAAGTGTTGGTGGTGCTGTTTTCCTTGATACTTAAGTTTCAGAAAGATTGATTTATTTTATTAAAACAACTGTTAGAACAGAGTTACTCAGATTTTTGTCAGTCACAGTCAGTAATGATACCATAATAAGTAAATGCTTATGCAGTTGCAAATAATTTCAAATACATATATTCCCTCTTTGTGAGTTTTATCTGTGTTCACTGGCTTTTACGAAATAAATGCTAAAGCCTTTTTGGCATAAGCTAAAAGCATTTTTGGTTTTGCTTTTCAGAAGCCTCTAAACCTATTCTTGATGAAATAAGCATACTTACAGCTATTGCTCTCTTCCTCTGGTCAGCAAGCACTGAAATAATTGGAGTGCAGTCTTTACAAAATGGATGTATGAACAGATTTAGAAGTGCATTGAATTCTTCTGATCCTTGGGTAAGATCATGTTACAGAAATGTGAATGATATGCAGCCAGCAGAAACTAATCATGATATATTTAACACACTTCCTGAATGTTTTGTGATGCATTTACTTCAGGGACAGGTACTGCTAGAATTTTCAACAATGCATTATTGAAATTAATGAGAAAAATAACCCAAACTTAGTGCTTCTAGATAGTGTTCATGGCTTTGTGCCAGGTTCTTGACTTCAGCTTTTTAAAACTGGTTTTGTCTCTGGTATATGAAGTTTTATCAGATGGAAAAGTTGGTTACCATAGAGGAGTGACATTTTTACATTAGTGTTGATCTTTTATAATACAAACTAAACCATTTTTTCCACAGATAAAATTAGAGCCCACATTTCTGATCAATTTTGTATTTGTGCCAAACCTGTGCTTATTTTGCGTGTTCATATAAAACTCAGTTTGTGAGCAAAAATACGATTTTGTGGGCACCATCAGAACATCTACAGATTATGATTAATTTGTTTCATGATTTCACTTCTGCCCTTTGGCTTGCCTTTGTGAAATGCCTTCTGAATTATTTTATCATTGAAGGGGAAGGTTAAAAAAGTTGTAGACTGACTTGATTCAAGCAGGCTAATGCACTGTATTGGTAGTTAAGCTTGATTTTTCCAGCCATGTATGTATCAGTATGGATGGGTATACAAATCTGCAGGTGGGAGCTAAGGAGAAAAATCTGTTATATTTCCACAAGCAAACACTGCAGGGATTCCTGAGAAGAAAAACATGCAAAAAATGCAGATGTGTTTAGGCTCACAGTGAAGCATTTAAAATCCTATTTAGACCGACAATTGTCAATAGCAGGGCAGGTGTTTTCCAGTGTGAACATAAAATTCAGTTGATTCTGAAGCCTGACTCTGGATGGAAAGCTAGTTAGAATTTTATTGTGTGAATGGAAATGTCAGTTGTATTAAGTGAAACTTTCATGTCATACTCTCTCTCAGCTCTGTATAAACACATGAACAGTGAGAGAGAAGTACATCGTTGCCCACTACCCTGCTAGAAAGCTGCCCGTCAGCTGGAACTTAGCACTATTTTTGTAACACACAGAGCAAGTTTGGAGAGCAGCCAGATGGTGTCCACTCTCTTCTCACTAATGTGCAGAGCAAATACTCTGTAATACTTGTGTGTTCATTCTGGCTTTTTAAATGTAAAATATTTATTGTTGCAGTCAGTAATGAGACACTTGTTAATAATAAAAGCATGATTGTGATCACACTAAGTGCACTGAACTGATTAAGGAGAAGACTCTTCCAAAGAAATTACTGGTGCCTTAAAAGAAATACAGGAGTATTTTTAAAACTACTACCACATGAAAAGGTCAAATATGTATAGTAATAACCAGAAGTCTGGTGAGCTCAATTCCCTTTTGTTCCAACAAGATAACTCAGTTGAGAGACCCAGGTGTTTTAACGCTGTTGGGCGAGTTTTACATCAGAGTGTGACTCTTAGGCTTTGAAGAAGCTCTGATTTTACCTTCCAGGAGTTTTTGTAGACTTCTGTGAATGCATTATAGTCCAAAGACACAGATCAAAGGAAAAACGCTTGGATGAAATTCTGCTGTCAGATGCAGTCATAAAACTCTTCTGAAATATGGCTACATTTAAGAAACTACTTCCTTCTTTCAAAGGTTAATCTAGTCATCTTTAACAGCTAACAAGGATTGAAGTTTAAAGAAAGACAGAAAGGGAAGAGAATTATTTGTAACAGTATGGAGAGATAGAGGTAAAATTTGTTGAAAAGGTCAAAGATGATGATGAGTAAGGTATTAAGGAAAATGTACTTTTCTATGGAGCTCTGTTTCAAAGCATATAAATGATATGAGACGTGTTATTACTTCAGACCTTAAAGATAGAATTGTATAGAAAACCTGCAGCTGTATACTATTGAATTAACAGTAATATGAGCTGCATAACTCATATTTTCTTACCAGTAGTTTTTATAATCTATGACTTTTATTCAATAATTTTATTTATATATCTATGTTTCCAGTAATCCCTGGATCTCCTCACAGATCATTTTGCTCAGTAGTAGCTTCTCTAGAACATTTCTGTTCAGCATGTGCTCAAAAACTCATCCTGTTTGGACTTGAGTGCAGTTAGAAAACACGTGCAATGTTTTATCCTCATGTTTGTTGTGAGGCTTCACCTTTTCAAAAATTCTGGGTTATTTGTAGGGGATTTTGGAAGAAGATCTTTGTATGCCCCAAAAAATGCATTCATACATCCATCTGAACAAGATCATCAGTGAGTCATTTTCCCAAACCTTGGTTTTAATAATCTTTGCTTTCCACAGAGAGGGAGGAGGAAAAAAATAAAATAGAAGGACAACAAGGAGAGCATTCTGTGATCAGGTCATACTATGGCTACACATATAGTTCTAAGCTACTACCAGCACAAAATAAAGAATGAGAAGCAAGGATGGAAAAGTTTGACACTTTTGGTTACAGCCTTGGTTTATATTAGAATAATAAGATCACTTTGTTCTAAGTCATTTTTATGGGCTGTGTGGCCCTTCTGGAATTTGAATAGCATATCACGATTTTGAAGATTAGACTATTACTAGAGCTGGTAGTTCTGAGACCTAAAGATGCAGTTCATTGTGAGCTGGTGTGACTGACTTGTATGACATTAACTATGCCTTTATTTTCTCAGAGTTTATATTGTTACTGCTGCTTAGTACTTGCATGTTCTTTCTAATTGTTCTTCCTATTATTGAACACTGGGCTAATACTGCTTTATTAGCTGGGCTGTGTTGCTCCTTTCCTCTTACTTAGTATATTTCCTTCCCATTTAGTAGTATTTTTTTTTTAATTTAATCAGAGCTAACAGAGTTTATTAGATTCCCTGAGTAACCAAATAACCTTGAAGACAATGTATTATCTTGATTTTATTAGGTTCAAGCCAAGTGTTATCAGCTTCTGCTTTCTGTGTTCCAACACACCAATCGTGCCCTGTCCACTCCATATATTCATTCATTGGCTCCTATCATGGTTGAGAAGTTGAAGGCTGTGGAAAGGAGCCGCCCAAACAACCATCTGGAGCTTTTAGCAGTCCAGGAGGGAATTAAAGTCCTTGAAACGTTGGTTGCCCTTGGTGAGGAGCAGAATAGTAAGTATGTAGGTTTTCTAGATAAATGAGTAATGCTAAAATAGAATATTAAACATTAGAAATATTGCAGTTAGGAACTTGATGGCATAGGCACAAATGGAGTGTGTGTGCAACATGCTTTTGTAATTTCAGTGCAAGAACTTTTGTATGCATTAAATTGCATAGCGTATATGCCATGATATGCTATAACTTTTACATTTCTGGTGATTGGAGGAAAAAATCTAAACATGAATTGCAGTAATAAGTGATATTTTACTCTGTTTGGAAATTTGTATTTCATGGTGTTTCAGTTTACTTTTTCTCATTGTTAACTTTAATTATTTTACTAGACTCTTATCAGATTGCTTCTACCAGCTCAATAAGTTTTAGCTAAAGAGCCCAGGAAATCGAACTGTACTGGTCAGAGTATCTTGATTGTAGATGAAGCAAGATTCATTAGATAGAATACATTACTTATAGTTTATCTTTGAGTTAGTTATTCTTCAACTGAAACAATGTGCATTCTGAAGACTTACTGTCTTTGACATTTGACTTCAAATGCTGAAAAAGTTTCTTGTAAAAATACTACTGTTGGTTTTTGGTAGGGTTTTTTTTTTTTTTTTTTTTTTTTTTTGGTTGGTTTTTGTGGGTTTTTCCACCCAACATACTCCTTGTTGGAACTTCTGTTTTTTGATAGATTATAAAATTTCTTGAGCCTCATTCTGGTTCTGGAGCATTTGTTTGAAACACACGTGAAATGAAAATGAGAGAGTAACTGAAACAAGTGAGGAAACAGATAATCTGATTTGCTGGTTGGAGACATGCACCCCATGAGTATGAATTAGTCAGAACCTATAATGAAAAATAATTAATACTCTGGTAATCTAAAACAATTTAGATAAATGAGTTACCATTAATTTTTAAATTCTTTGGACTTAAAATGTACAATTACCAGGTTACACATTTCAAAGGTATACTTAAATTCTTACTAGATACAAAAAATTGCCTTGTTGCTTAAGTTTCGCTGCCTTTTTTGTTCTCAAGGTCAACCCTCTTGATCCCTTTGCCATTTTGGGCTGTGGCCTTACTAGGTCATGCTAGCTGAAGTATAGCTGCCCTGCTGGTTTTTGAGTTAGGATCTCCCAGACCAGTCCAGCATAAATAACTGTAGATAACTGTCCCTGACTTTTTTGTGAACACTTGCATTCTGGTATCAGTTCACTTATGCTCGCTGGGGAGGTGAATACTCAAATTCAATTGAATAACATTTCTGTCTGCCTGAAAAGTGTTTTGAAATCCTTTAATATGATAGGTACTCTACATCTTAAAATCTTTCATCAGTGATCTGCAATTGGATGGTGCAAAAGCATCTCAAAATAAGCATCAGGATCAATATAATTGTAATGAACAATAATAGAAATCTTAAATCCAGTCCTGGTAAGACAGAGTAGAGTGATCAAAGCACAGGAAGCCATCTACATTTCATTTGTTTTAATTTGATAATTTTTTTGATTACAGTTTCTAATGTCAGTTCTGAAAACAATATTACCCTTCCTTATCTGTGTAATAACTAATAATTTTTTTTTTGTTTCATTCTCTGATATGGTAATTACATTTTTTCTTTCATTTTTAGGAGTACAGTTGCTTGCCCTTCTCGTTCCCACTCTGATCTCCTATTTACTGAATGAAAATGCCTTTGCTTCTGCATCTACAGCATCTAAGGATCTTCACGAGTTTGCACTTCAGAATCTAATGCACATTGGTCCACTTTATCCACATGCTTTCAAGACAGTAATGGGAGCTGCTCCTGAATTGAAAACACGTCTAGAAACTGCAGTCCGAGCAAGCCAGGCCAGCAAAGCAAAAGCAGCTGCTAGGCAACCAGCACCCACAGTACATTCCACCCCGACAATTAAACTGAAAACTAGCTTTTTTTGAATTACTTTTATTATTTTTGGACCATTAAGTAGTCAGAAGCATTGCATTATCCCTACATACATGTCTAATTTTGTGTAATTTGTATGTGAAAGACTGTCTGATGGAGCTTTGTGTAATTATTTGAAATCCATGCATTACAAGGGAAGTAGTGTTACTTGTATTTGTATAGATTTTTAGGAAATTGTGATCATATTTATGAATTTCTGTTATAAATTATTCACCAAAAATTATTATGTATCTAAATAGTTTTATTTCTTTTTAAAAGCTATCTCAAACCCTTGAGTGGTTTTTGAATTCTGGTGATTGTTATCCTGCCATTGTCCCAACACACTAGCACAGTGGGGATGGAGAGAAGAGGAAAAACTGTTATGAAGTACTTACCCTGTACCATGGGGAATTTCTAGTGTAGAAGTATGAATTTTTTCCTTTTATTAAAAAGAAATAATACTGAAGGGGACTTCGTAGATTGTTTCAGCTTGCATGAAAAAATACCCAAAATCCCACAACAAAATAATTGAAAATTTTCAGCCTTTCTTAAGGTGAATGATCAAGCATGCTGTCTTAATGAGTTGTCGTTATTTATGTGGTGTATATCTCTTTCCAATCCTTTCCCATGCTTGAAAATGAATAAAGGATGCAAAGAATCTAATCCCCTATCTCTTTGAATGTAAAGAATGCACTGGAAATTGAGTTTATAAAGAGAACTGCCTTCTATCTGCATTTGTAGGTATAGATCTTGGCCTTCATAATGTGCTCTGTGTTTGCAGTCTTCCAGTTCTGCCAGCGACTGGTTGGATATGTGATCAGTCAGTGCTCTGCCCTTTGTTCAGACTCAGGTATTTAGCCTTCCTGCTAGATCATACCCGCAGTCCTTGGTCAAGTTGGAAAGCAGAGGTACTGGAGGACATTGCACTGTACTGACTCAGGGGGCAGAATACAAGCGAGGGCCAGGCTCCTCCAGTTTTTCCTTTCCCTACCAGGCATTTTTCAAAAGCATGTGGCTCCCCTCACCTCTGAGTCTCATGTGCAGATTTTGGGGCTTAGGGCTCAAGTGTTGTGCTGACCTTGCATCACAGCCAGGGAATCCCAGTGTGTGTCTGCTGCCAGGCCTCACCCTTCCTATTGGCAGAAGTACAGAACTATGTATTTTCTTGTGTATATAGGACTGACTTACATGGATTTTTTGACACAGCTGTTAAATTTATGGGCTTTTATAGGCATCTTTCCATACATTTTGCTTTATAGAGAGAAGTAACATAACCAAAGGTCTCCACTAGGCCTGCTGAATTTCAACTCTGATGTTTCTCTGTATACTCTGTAAAAACTGCATATTTCAGATGCTTCAACTTAAAATATAACAAAGGGATAGTAAATAGAATTGAATATGACTAATATCTGCTTAAAATATTTGTAGATCACTATTTTTGCATACATACTTGCCTCTATGCTTTCTATTTTCCTTTAAGACCTTATCTAATATCCCTTTGAGTATCTATGCAAAATGGTCAAGACAGTGCTCTTGCCCTATGGTAAATTGGCTGTGTGCAAATATTTAACATAAAATCAGAAATGCTTTTATTTCACAGTGAATGTTTTAGTGCTAAAGTGAGGACACGCATACTCTAATTTCAATTTTTTTTCATTTGAAAGTATTAAGGAAACTTCCAGTTCAAAATTCAACACAAACATTTTGCAAGTAAAACAGAAAACAAGTTTATAACCTGTTTTAGATTCCCTCCCCTCCACCAGGTAGTCTAGGAATTAATGACTTCTTAGAAAGATTTTGTCTATAATCGTGTATAGTTTTGTTTACATTAAGTTTTCTCTCAGCACTTTTAAGTTTTGGTTAGCCTCTAGTTGATCAGATATCTGAAAACTCAGAAGAGGGGAGAGAAGTGTAGCAATCAAGCATAACTAAGAAGTCAGTAGAACTATAGAAAAAAGTTAGCAGAAGAGAAAATTACACTAGATAGATGTAGAGGAATAGAGAAGGGAGAGGTTTTTCTTTGAATTTTGTGTGGCACAAAAAAACATGCACAACTCTTGTTTGTATACATCCTTCCCCAGTTTAGTCCTCGTTTGCTTCTCTGCTTGCTCCTGATACTAAAGTTATAGTCATGTGGTTTTACAAAATATTTTGGCATCCAATTCCATTTGATTAAAAAAACTCAAGTAACTCGCAATGGCCGTAGTGCTTATTGTTGTTTGTCACTCTCCTTTTCATATTTTTCTTTGTCAATAGCCTTTTAAATGTGCTTTTTAATGAAACCGTTTGCTCCGCTTCCCCTTCACATCTTTCATCTCTCTGCTGTTTACCTTTTTTCTGGGTCAGCCTTGTTCTGCACGGGTTCCTTGCCGAGGTCCCCCAGATCACACTCCCTGTCCCGAGTTTTCGCTCCCGTTCCCCGCTGCTCTCCGTATGCTCTAAGTAAGCTTCCTTAGTGGTCTTTCCCAGAGAGATGTTACGCCAGCCACAGCTCAAGCTCCGCGGGTAGGATTATTTACGAAGCAGGCGGCTGTGGTTTCGGAGCAGTCACAAAGAACCGGGCACCGCTGCTCGAGAAGGCGGCGGGGCGCTCCCGGTGCGCCGGAGCACGGCCAAGGGCGCAAGCAGGGCGCGTTCCCGGCGCCCTCGGGAGCCCCACGGCACCGCCTTGGTGGCACGCAGCATGTCTTTCACGGTGCTGGCCTTCGGCACGGCCCGATGGAGAGGCGCCTGCGTCTGCCCTCAGCAAGGCTCTGCTGCTCGGGCGTACATGGCGCGGAAAGGGAGCCCAGCTTCGTCCCTTAGTGCCATGGGGAGAGGGCAGTGCGGCCGACACCTTCCGCCCTCAATCCCATACGCTCCTGTTTTCCCTGTCCTCGCAGAACAGGCAGCGTGTCCATTCCTGAAAAATGTTGTGTCGCTCTCCTTCCCAAGGTCGGAAACGATGTTCAAGAAACCCCTGTAGCCTTGGGCAGGCTTTCCAGCTTTTGACAGTAAGAGGCCGAGCGCTGCTCGGAACAGGGACGAAGCAGAAGAGACGGAGCTGCCAGGGCAGGGCCTGGCGGGAGCATCTGCGAGATGCGGGAACTGCTGCGAGACACCTGCCCTTCCCGCGTTACCGGGCTGGGCTGCGGGGCAACCCAAGCGTTTCAGTCCCGCTCGGAGGTGGAGGTGCCATTAACCTGTACTCCCACCGTAGGGACTACCCCCGCCCAGCCGATCGGACCGCACGTCCCGGCGCTGAAGCTCAGCCGTCCGATCGCCATCCCTGGGATTACGGACGTCGCGGGAAGAGGGCGGCGAGCCTGCCCGCCATCCAGCGGAACTACAGTTCCCAGGAAGCCGCGCGAGGCGGTGGGGCGAATCGCTCCCCGGCTCTGTCCCCGACGGGCCACCGTAGCAGCGGGCGGGGGCGGCTGTCAGGCGGTGACGGCGGGTGGGACGCGCCCAGGTTGTTGCTGCTGCTGCTGCCGGGACGCGGTGGGAGCGGCGGCGGCGAGCGAGGCGGACCCGGCCCGGCCATGGACGAGCAAGCGGGGCCCGGCGTCTTCTTCAGCAACAATAACAATAACAACGCCCTCCTGCTGCCGCCGCCGGCGGGCGGACCGGGGCTGGAGCCGGGCGAGGCGGCGGCAGCGGCGGCCGCGGCGGCGGCGGCAGGAGGAGGCGGCGGAGGAGGGGGAGTCTCAGCCTCCGGAGCCGCCGCGCCGCTCTCGGCGTCCCGGGCTCAATACAGCGTGCCGGGCATCCTGCATTTCCTGCAGCACGAGTGGGGCCGCTTCGAGGCGGAGCGCGCCGAGTGGGAGGCGGAGCGGGCGGAGCTGCAGGTAACACTTGCGACCTTCTGCTCCCCCACAGCCCGGCCCCGGCGGCCGCTCCCCCTCCGTGTCCCTCGTCTCTGCGTAGCTGGAGGGGGAGCGGCCGCCCTGGGCGCTGCCACAGCTTGTCGTCTTCCCCGAGAGGGAGCGGCCGGCCGGGCTATTTCGCTGCCCCGAGGGCGGCCGCCCCCCGCCGCGGCCGGGCGCGGGTGGGACGTGGCGGCGGCCCGGCGGGGAGCGGGCCCAGCCCGGCGGCGAGCGGCCCCTGCGGCTGTGCCCCTCTCACCTCCTCCACTGAGTTTTCCGGATGCCCCTCGGGGTCGGCCGCCCCAGCGTGTCGCCAGTTTCAGAAGCCCTGCTGAAATCTGCCCCCGGCAAGCTGCGCGCCCCCGTTGTGCCGCGGCTTCGCCGCTTGTGCCGCGGTTGCCCTCGGTGTCGCCCCACCCGCACGGGGGCCGGGCCCGTGGGACCGGCTGGGTCCCCTTCGGTACTATGGGGCACGTTTTCGTTTGAAAAGCGATGGGGCTGATATGCTCATTAATGCATGAAAGGACTGATAGTGATCTTGTGGTTGAAGTACTTGTGAACTGCTGGCCTAGAGCCGTCGCTCTCAGATACTCAGATACCAATAACAGTCGATAATGCAGCCTTCGTTCCTCTTTGGTGTTGTTTACAAGAAAATCCCTGTGTTAAACGTTAACGCTGGCCATGTTTCTAGCAACCCACTGTTAGGTTTTAGTTTGGCCATGTTTGAGACGGAAAAGTGTCTACGGGTTTCTTTTTTAGATCTCTTTTCTTTGTCTTTTTCTTCCTATCCATCTGTTCTTTCTATGGCTTTCCTTGAAAGTACAGTCTTTGTCAAGAGAGTCTTGAGTCTGTTTACTAATGCAAACCACTTCTCTATTTTTTTGGTTATTGGGTTGATTTTTCCATCTTTTAAATTTTACTTTCTACAGTAACATCAAACAACCACTCTGAGAAGAGTGGTAGGTGTGGCATTCTTTAATGAGAGTTCCCTTGTAGGAATTTAAAATAAGTGGTCATGAGAACAAGAAAGTAATTTTTATTTTAACTTCCATGATTCAGTGAGAAATTGGTTAGTAACTGAATCATATTTCTATTCACTACATCCAGTAAATACTGTGTAGAAAGTTACTAGCTTAGCTATGTATAGGAATAACCTCATGTGTCGTATATCTGGTGGAGGCCCATAAATATCTTGACATATATTCATAGCTGATTCAGATATCAAATATTGCTTTGGAGAAAAAAAATCTGTTTTACAGACCTAGGAAATTTTGTCAGTATATTAAAAGTAATAACACTCTGCATATTTATCGTGTTCTTCATCAGCATGACATCCCTCCTTCTCCCCCAGGTATCCCTCAAAATTTTGGTGTTACAGATGAGAGAGGAGGAAAGAAATTGAGTATTTAGACTATTAGCAGAAGTCATGTATTATCAGTGGCAGATAACCCCATCACAAGTTGTTTGCTTGAGTGCCTTTGACTCTTGCCAAAACATCTCAATAAAGTTATAATTAGCTGTGGCTGGCATTGCCATGAGCTGTAACAGCATTTATCTGCTGCAGAGTCATGTTCAGGAAGGTGCAAAATTCTTGGCTATCTCTACAGACATCAGGCGTTAACGTCTGCTGTGACCATTTGCAGATGAATGTACTTGGATCCATGTGAGAGGTTTGTGGTATGGGTTCAGCAACTACAGGGTGGCTTTTAGAAATTTTACACCTGAAGCATGAGCAGTGTTAATTAAAGACCTGGTCTGTGCTCCTTCTGAAGCCTTCTGTTGGCCTGTATATTTGGAAATGTTTAACAGAATAATGGAAATTTGAGGTTGGATGGTTTCTCTCTCCCAAGATAAAGAAGCAGTACTCCTCATTGTACTTTTATCCAGTGCAAATTCCAGTGCTAGATTATCCATCCACTCTTGGGAGCCTGTGGAGCAAACGACCTATTTAGTATGGTGGTCTTGGTATCCTGTAATTTTTTTCCTTCAATTCATCTGTTTCTAAGAGGTAGACTTCTTTTATCTCTGGTTCCTTACCAGCCATGATACTGAAATACTTGGGATACATTATTACTTACTACCTTATTACAGTGTTACTGTGCTTGGCTTCTGCTCTGTAGTTGCTGGTTAGTTCCACTCTAGCCTCTCTCCAAAAAACTCCTCATAAGTCAGTCCCATTGTGATTTCCATGTTTCCTTTTCTTCCTCTCTGGGCTTCTTTTTATTTTCTCTTTTCCTTATCCTTCTAATTAACTGCATGGAACTAAATGTGATGGTCAGGTAGAATACCTTCCTGTTGTGTTCTGTGGTACTTGTTCAGGAGACACACACACAAGCTCATAATATATGTGAGTTAGCAGGCCAGGCAGTTTAATCTGTTCTTAGTTATTGGTCTAGTACTGCATTTCCAAGGTTTTTTTCCCTATCAGTGCCTGTATTTTTATTCCCCTGGCAAATATTCATGCTTATTCTGATTTTCTAATTATTTTTCTTGAACCTTTTGAAATTATTGTTGCCTCTTATATAATCTTCCTTATTCAAGGCAAAAGAGGACTTCAGTATTTATATCTATGTAAGCATAATTAGTAAGCTGTGTATATCACATAAGAATGAAAACAGATTAATATGGGGTTCCCCTTGATGCTTATTTGCTGATTATATATTTAACTTTCAATGCTTGCTTTCTGTTTAAAGTATTTTGACATCTGCAGATTGAAAAATTATCCTAATAATAGACTTATATTATGCCCTGTGAAGTAATTAATTAGGATGAATAGTAACATTATTAATTCTCATTTAAGTATTTGCAAACAGTGCTTTATGGCATTATAATGTATTTTCATATCTTTTCAGAAATTAGTGATTTTCCTTTTCTTAGGTTCTTCTAGCAGCTGCTTGGGAGAGTTGACAAAACAGGGTTTCCTGTTCTGCATGTTTTAAACTTCAGGGGTTTTTTGTTCTGCATTTTTCTGGACTGACACAGAGGCATTTCAGAGTTGTCATTATATGTTGGACATGCCCATCCGAAAATAGCAGAGGATTTGATCAAATGCATGTGCAGGGCACTGAAATCTGTATCTTTGCTTGAGGCAAGTCAGGGGTTGTACTGCCTCCCATATTGGTGTTTTGCCTTAACCTTGGGTCTTCTGACTGCTTGGGAGTGACTGTCTCTTTCGGATGTTATTTCCCTTTTAATTAGCATCTGTCAGCCCTGGGGGGTGCAATGGGAGCTCTGCCCCGGGGCCTGGGACCCTGCAGAGCCAAGGCTGCCAATGCACCTTCTTGTCCCAGCAAGCAGTGAGGCTGGATGAGTTTGGAAGGTGTGTGTGGCTTTTGTTTTGGCTAGAGATGTTGTCTTTGCAAGCAGTGCATATGTTGCTGTGGAAAGTTTTGCTTTTGACAAATATTTTTCTGGCAAAAGTGCAGATTTGCAGATATTGGCATTTCTCCGCATTTCACAAATGGTCTAAATTGCAACAAACTGCTGTAACTGTGTTTATGGACAGCCCCCCATCCTGCTAAGGAATTTTCTAGCTTTGGTCCTCTTTGCTTCTGAAGTTTTCATTTCCTCTAGCTAGTAACTTGTTTCTTCGGAGTAGTAGAGTCCATACGAGTGGTGGGACCTGATAGCATTACATGAAAATTATTTTTCCTGGGTAAACTTTCCTCTGAAAAGGTTTGCAAGGAAATTAGAGAGAATGGGTGGATACAATGTGCTTGTGTTTCTACATCTTTTGTTAAAAATAGTCCTTGTAAGACAGTGCCAAAAGAACAAGAAAACACCACCCAAATGATAGGGAAAGAGATAATGAAACAAGATAAAATGTGGTTAAGATAGCAAACAGCTGTATGTAATAGAAGGAATGCGGTGGAAGAAATAGATAAGCACTTGAGATGGGGTATGGAAGTCAGTTTAGTAATGTCAGCTCACTGGGACGTAGGTCACGGATGGGGATCTTGCTCCTTGATGCTGCTTTTCTGCTGCAAGAGGCAGGTGATGAAACCGGGCATGCTACGTGGTAAAATTGTGTCCTTGGAGATAGACAAGTTAAAGTAAAGAGGAGAAGGGGCAAATCAGACAGATGGCTTTGGCTATTTATAGTGTGGTTTAGGACATTTGTTACTTGATTCAGAAATTGTTGATATTTACAGTTTGTTGGCTTTTAGATAACGGTCCTCTTGTTAGATTAAATTTCTAGTTAGAAGTTGTTCTGATAGCTGGATAATCTGAAAATGTTGTTCAGAGAAAAAGTAATGAGCAGTGAGGTGGTGAAATCAGTTATTAAGTTAATGGAAAAGTCCTAAAGATACAGTTTGATCAATAAAATGGAAACATAAATGCAATTTGAAGAAGTTTTGTATAAAATTTTCAAGTATGATAATTTAGGTCAAATTTCTGAGATTCTCGGTGAAAGATGAATTGGCAGAAGTGTTTTAAAAGTCTTCTATGAAATATTTTTTCTTTTAAGGCAGACAGTATAAAAGAATCACCAGTGATTAATGTAACGTGCATCTCTACTGCAGAAAAGAATAATTTCACTTTGTTGTTTTATATATATCAGATAAATAAAAAGAAAGACAGAAGAAAACAAGCGGTAGTCACAATACTGAGATGTGTTTATTTGGGAAAAATGATGCTAAATGGGCCTTGGTGACTACCAGATAGCTTCTCTTTCATAAGGTTTTTTTTTTTTGCAAAATTTCTATTTGACAGATTCACGTGAAGTAAACTGTGTTCTCCTCTACTTCTATGTGTGTTTGCCAGCTAATTCCAATATAATAATTGATACGCTGTCATGACTTCTTTTACTTAAGCAAGGAGGACCAGTGAGAGTAAATGTTCAGTGATTTTCAGCAATTCAGAAGTTTGTAGATGTAGAATATAAGTACCAACTGATGAGACAGTGTTTTTGCAGGTGTATACCTGGTTTTTATAGTTTGATTTTTTTTCCCATAATTGATCTGACCATTTTCTAACATCAC